TGCACTTGGCCTTGTTAAACCTCATGAGGTTCACACAGGCCCACTTCTCGAGCTCGTCCAGGTCCCCCTGGATGGCATCCCGTCCCTCGGGCGTGTCGACTGCACCACTCAGCTTGGGGTCATCTGCAAACTTGCCGAGGGTGCACTCGATCCCACTGTCTATGTCATTGATGAAGATATTAAACAGTACCGGTCCCAATACGGACCCCTGCGGGACACCACTCGTCACCGATCCCCATCTGGACATTGAGCCGTTGACCACTACCCTCTGGATGTGACCATCCAACCAATTCCTCGCCCACCAGACAGTCCACCCATCAAATCCACGCCTCTCCAGTTTAGAGAGAAGGATGTTGGGGGGGACCGTGACAAAGGCCTTACAGAGGTCCAGACGGACGACATCAGTCATCACTCAACACACGTAGTGCTAAATAAGGGGGAACAAAGCAGGTCACCCACCTCTTCGGAGCCAAAAGGCTTTGGCTTCAGGGCGGGCACGTGCACCTCCTCGTAGCCCTTGCGCTGCCTGCGGAAGGAGCCGTCGGGGAGCTGGCATCGCTTGTTGGCCATGAAGTGACTACCTTGGGCAAACACCAGATCCTCCAAGTCCAGCACCTGCCGGGGAGCCAGCGCCTGGAGAGAGCAACGGGAAAAGGGGGTGAGGATTAGAGAACAACCCTCTCCTGCCATTTTCGCCCTGGGACCAAAGGAAAAGCAACCGCATCCGACTGGCAAGCGCCTCTTTAGCACATCAGGGGCTTATTCTTGCTATCTTCCTGCCCGTGCCACCTCCAAGCGCTCTTCCTGCACTTACAGAGGACGCCTCTCAGAAAAGCTAGGAACAGACGGCTTCAAAAGAGTTTTACCTCTCCTCCTTGGTCCAGATCCATGGTCTCCAAGTCGGTATCCATCCGGGACTGACGAACGCGCTCCCGGCGAGAGCGTTCCTCCTGCGCGAAGAGATGAGGATTCAGCCCCGGGGGAAGAGCTGCCGAGCCTCCTCCGCGGGCTGCCAGGCTCTCCTCTCACGCACGGCTTGGCGGCCTGTGAGCCCCCGCGACCAGAGCGCCACGCGCCGCCATTTCAAGCGCGCCGGCCTTCACGTAACCGATGATTTTCGTGCAGTAGAAACCAGCGCCCCCAAGGCCGGGACATAAACTTGCCTTCCAGGAGAGCAGAGGAAAGGAAGCAGGGAGCGAAGGCACGCAACACCTGCGGTGCCCCAGCAAAAGCCCAGCCTGCCGCACGCCAGCAGCGCTCCTTGAACACGGAGACGCCAAACTGGCCCCTCACAACAACATAAAACCGGGGTTTGGGGTTTGTTTTTTTTTTTTTTCTAACGACAAAGCTTCAACATGGTATTAATCCCCCCCCAAAAAAACAACCCCCAAATCAGGCACGGAACTGCTATCATCCAAAGGCCGAGCAGAGCTAACCCTGCGTGCCAATAAACCTGTCGAGCGGCCCGTTCCAGCCCCGGGTTAATTGGGAGGTGATCGGAGGTGACCAGGGTGTTTTACTGCGGTGAGCCTCGCATCAAGGAGGCCCCGAGGTGAAACGGCGCTGTTCCAAGGCAGTTGACACCAGCGTAAAAACGTGAAGCTTGCAGATATTGCCATTTTCCCGGAAAAGCAGCCATCCGAGCGACTCAGAAATGAGAAGCGGTAAATACACCGCCCTCTCGGCTGAGTCTCAGCCGTCACCTAAGCAACGTTTCCTACGGTTTCAAGATCCCAGCTGAGTCAGCAGGCTCCTCTCCCACGAACAGCGAAGAACACACACAGCCCAGACGGCGGCGAGGAGCCCACGATTCCTCCTCTCGTCCCGCCCGAGGTTCCCTCTAGCCTTACCCGGATGAGATCCTCCTTCTCTGTCTCGTGCAGCTGATACAAGAACTTCGAGAGCTCGGGATCCGCTTCCATCTTCCCCATTATCCGTTCCTTTTCAGCTTCGCTTTGTGCGCTGGCCAGCAAAGTGCAGTACAGGACTGACGAGAGAAAATTCAGGGGCGGCAGGCGGGGTTAAGGGTCGAACCGAAAGAAGGGAGCAAATAACAAGGGCCCAAGCTTCACAAAGCAACGCCGCCGGCAGTTAAAAAGCCTCGGGTCGTGCTAGAATGGCGGTCAGAACAGCAGGGAAACAACAAGGCGGGACGGTTAAAGGCAACGCCACTCACTCATCATCCGGTGCTGCCGCAGGACCTTAATGAAGTCGAAGGTGTTAAAGCCCAGGAGCAGAACAAGCTGGTTCTCACATTCCCGGTCATCGCTGGCAGTCTGGGAGGAGAAGAAAGGAGGAACGACCGGTTACCTCCGCGCCCCACGGAACCAGAAAGCCTCGCTTCGCACAGACCTGAGCTCTTTGCCGGGGAAGATCATGGAGCGGATCATCTTGAGGGCGCTCATGATTCAAGCGGAGCGAAACAGCAGCTACGCGCAAGGTTAGGTACCCGAGGCAGACCGCAGGTAAAAATACCCCCCCATCCTCTCCGACTCCCCTCCTTCCCCAGCGAGCCGCCACGCCCAGCGCACACGAACATCAGCACCAAAACGGGCAGGGAAACAGGCCCGACATAGGACAATCCGCCAGCGAACGCCGACAAAAACCCTGTCACCCTCCCATCAGAAGAAGATTTCTGTGAATTAAGACTAGGCCCGACCTAGTCCAGCGTTTATCTATCTCGTTGGCAAACGTGGCCCGTCCGCGATCGCATTTAATTTGAAGAACCGTAGGTAAGGAGCCGTTGGGGCAAATTCCCGTCTTCCGGACGGAGGGGTATTCTGAGACGGCCGCAATCCTGCGGCTCGGGTGG